ACATTGCCCACATCATGCATCCAACTGGAAATTGGAATGGACCTGCCAAGCCCAAAACTTTGCTTTCATTAACGGACCAATTGGAGCTTGGTCGGGAGTAATACGGCATTAGGCCAGATTCTCTCTCTCTCTCTCTGGGTAAATATTATTGGGCCAGATTCTATTTCGTCCTATTTAAAAGCCTGATCAAAAGCATTATTGTGATGGTGGAGCCCAAACTTGGCTTTCATAAACATGTCTGTCGATGTCGGACGTCAATCCTAATCAACACAATTGACATTTGAAGGACGAAATCAATCAAACAACAGTAACAGACCTTTTATATACTCGTGTACAGAACAAAACCTTTTAAATAATTGAGATTAGTTGACAACCCATGACAATCATTGTTATATTATGATTCCCTGCTCAATCAAAGCTAAATTAATTAATAAGGAGATGATGTTTTGGGCCGATGGCCCACCATTGAAGCATCCTAGGGCCCAATAACCCAATCCATGTTGAATGTACAGAATATCAGGACCCATTGTCATTCTCTCTGGTAGCTGCTCATAGGAGGTTGCCGCCTGATCTCACCCTAAATTTGAAGCTCATTATAAAAGGAAATGAGACAGATTCTAAGCTTAATCAAGTTTTTGGCAGTTTAACCATCGAATTGATTTCTTGGAGTTTTGTAGTGGTAAGGTGCTCTTAAGTAGTCAAATCAGAACTATCATTTGTTTTTACTCTCGAACCCCATGAAATTCTGCATTCGATCTGGACTGAGCTCAGATTCAGTGGCTTTACCTCTAATAAACAACTTGCCTGACAATACATATTGGTGTGAATTTCCAACACTTAAAAAGAGGCATCCGATCCTTTGCTCTTGGTGTAAATTATAGAAAATTATATATACTCTTATAGAGTTCTGCAAACCGATTGGATTGAACTGAATTGAATGCAGGTAGATCCAAATTTGATTTGTTTATACATTTAGATTCGAACCAAATCTTATTCATTGGATTTGTATCAGACTTTGAAATGAATTTGCAATTCATTTAGGTATTGAGTAACATTAATAAATTAAAGGTAAAATTCCTGATTAGTACCTTGTAATTTGTGCCCAGTGACACTTTGGTCCCCAAACTTTTAAATCATATCAATTCAGTACCTATCATTAATCAGTTGTTAAATTTATTAGAAAAAGACACAAATGCCCTTTGTGTGTCATCTAATTTTCTTTATCAATCATCCAAATATTGACAAAAAATTAACAGTCCTAAATCCTTGCCTCTTTTATTCAAGAAAATTGGGGTCCAAAATGTCTATTGAGATGTGTCCCCAACTTTTTTGAATAGAAGAAGCAAGGATTTTGGATTGTTAATTTTTTGTCAACATTTAGATGGTTGGTAAAGAAAATTAAATGACACTCAGAGAGCATTTGTGTCTTTTCAAATACCACTTAAAAGCTAGTTAACAGCTGATTAATGGTAGATACTAAATTGACACATTTTGAAAGTTTGGGTACTGAATTGTCGCATTTTAAAGTTCAGGAACCAAAGTGACACTAGACCCAAAGTACAAGGTGCTAATCAGGAGTTTTCCTTAAATTAAACTTAAAATGATCAGATGTTGTATATTATCAATAATGAACAAAAAAGTTACTTCGATATTATATATCACAAACAAAATTAATTGAAAATAACTTGTATGAAACTTGAAAGTTGAAAGTTTGATTTTTTAATAAAAAGATACAATAGTAAAATCAATTATATATAATTTGAATTAAATTGAACCATATCATATATAATTTGAATTAAATCGAACCACATACAAATGTACTGATTTTTTTATCACCCTTGATTGGATTGAATACAAATAGATACCATTTACAGCCCAAACAAATAGATACCAGACCCCTGACCCCTGAGCCGGTCAGGGGTCTGGTTACCGGGTCAAACGATCTGATTGTTCGAATCGAACGTTTGGCCCATTTTAATAAAAAAAAATTTTAAAAATAAAAAAATTGTCAAAACCGTTTAAATGATTAACCGTCTGGTTTAACGGTTCACTGACCAAAATCAATGATTTTGGGAGGAATCGAGTTTTGGGGGAAAATGGAACCGATCACCCAAACACATAAGCCATCCGAAACAGGGCCTATTTTTAAGTGTAGGTGCACGGCCAATCTCTCAACCACACTTGAGAGGAAATTGAATTTGGTGAGGAGGAACCAAAAGATTCCAAAGCCATAGGAAATGGACAAAACTTTCAATAACTGGCAATGGAGCCCATCTGTTGTTTCTGTTCTGCCAACTCGCATGGCCTAATAATAATTCAGACGAAAATGTAGACGAAAGTCGGTGGGGTCCACGTTCACGTCCCTCCAGTGTGTGGGAAAGCGAAGCCTTTCCCTTTTATCGTTATGGAGAAAACAACGCCTTATTAATCGATGATGGTGCACCGCAACTAGCTTTTAAATGCCAGTGTTTGTGTTTCAATGGTGGGCATCGTAATTTCGGTGACTCGGTGAATTATACAAAGTAAAGCCATACAGAACAGTTAGTTGGGTTGGAATCTTAGTGGGTGCATCATTTTCTTTTCGTTGGCAGCGTGCAATCGGGCTTTTATCTTGGTGGGCCTATTGGGCTTATATAACTGCCACACTGAATCCACAGACCGTCGTGTTCGTGAGAAAAAAAGATTCCACAAAACACCACGTACCCATGAATCTATAATGCTCTGGTAGATGGTGCTTTAAGATTTCGTAATCTGTATCTTTCTAATGAGTGGTCAGTCTTTTTGCTCACTCCTTAGAGGTGTGAGTCTCAAATCTTATGAGATAATAATTGGGCCGGTTTCATGCGGTTCTCTTGGGTGTACCCGACCCAATGACATTGACAGCCCTAAGGAACAGTAAAAAGCATCAAAGAAATGAGAGAAGGTTTTTCTTTCTTTATTTCTTTACCAACTTAACAGACCAAAATCTTTAGTGACAACCTTCTTGAACAATAATATCACTTTAACTTTCACGCCTTCATCATTCCTAGCTACATACTGCCGACAACTAACCCATTAACTATAATCCGTAATAAAAGAAAAGGGAACAAATAAAATCTCACAGTCTTTCCTGAGTTAAATTTAACCACTAAAACCCATTAAAGAAGAAGAAGAAGAAGAATACTGTAAAGTTTATAAGATTGGGTCTATATCCAACTAACCCAAAATAGCAGAGACCAACATTGGTTAATGGCCTCTGTAATCGAATGTTGGTATTTTATTTCAAGCTTGTTGTTAGTGACAGAACTAGTTCAATGGTTTTATACTTTCGGTATCATTTTTAGCTTATAGGAATCCAACTACGATGCATTCCTAATATTTGATGTATTACCTTATCACATGGTTTATTTAAAGATATAATAACAATGTTAAATATTCAATTATCACTAGTTAAAATCTTTTGCCTCATGGTACTGAAATGAAATCAATTAACTAATAGTACATCATAGTATCATGCCAATTCTATGGAGAACGCTACTAACTTGACTCCATTGCATAGACCCATGTTATAGTAATAGGCTGATAGCAAATGCAAATATATACAGCATTTTTTTTCGTTGCCAATTCTATGGAGAACGCTACTAACCTTACCAAAAAACACATTCATCTTCTTTGCCATGGTATTGGTATTTTTTTTTCGTTGTTATTTTAAGAAATTAGAAATATCAGTGTATTAGGCGTACAAATGCAAATATATATAGCATAAATACATACAAAATAATATAAAATATAAGGTACATATTTGCATTTCTACTCCTTCCAAACTCAGCCTTAATAAAAAATTGGTGAGGGAGCAACTGTATTGGTTTTGTGCAAGTGTTGGCTAATCTTTTTCTGCCAACAGTTGAATGATTCCAGTTTCTGTGATTCATAACCACCTATAATAATAAAATTAGTGAAAGCCTGTTCTCTGATCAAGGTTTTGAAAATTGAAACTCCAACAACTAATTTCATTCTCTATGACTAATTGACTATGGATCTCCCATTCCCTTTCCCAATAGAACTATAGAAGATAGTGTTGTGTTGATCTTTCTTCATTATAATAATACGTGGGACCCATATTCATAGGAAATACAACCAGAGAAAGAGAAACATCTCAAGAGTCGTGCCCGTGAGCGATGGGTGTTCCAACTTCTAACCACGCCTCTCGCAGTTAAAATGATTAAATAACCTTATTACAGACGTTGAAGCGTTGAACTTCCCCACAAAAGATAAACATCTCAAGAGTCATGACACTCTGCTCTGATTTTTCTCTTCTTATTCCTCAAAATTGAAAAAAAAAAAAAAAAAATAACTGTTGGTTGGCGGGTAGAACCTCCACGTCTTGTACACGCTTACAAGTAGCCCGTGACGATCGACGGACTGATTGCATATCTGAATATTCACTTCTTGGTGCGCTTCCCAAAGCATCGGCGATGGCTCTGACGGACAGAGTTCACGCTCTTGACTCCTAAATCCTGATAATCTGATATAGTGTTTGTAGCCATCCTGTGAGTATATGTATTCCGTCCTAATAGACCAATTGGACCAATTCAGACGGTCTGGCACTGGCCTATAATCATCTGCCCAGGCTTATAAGATGAGCCGGGTGGCGTCGTATCATAACCCCAACCCCCCACCATAGACGGTAGACTCTCTCCTTGGTCTACCAAAGTTACTACTACACTAGTGGTAGTGGGGGGACTGGGAGTGTGAAGTGGAAGAGTGAAGGACAGTCGACGGTGCGAGTGGCAGAAGGAGGACTTTACATTACCCTTTGGCTTTTTATCTACCTTTCTTTCTGAAAAGCTAATATCCAGAACAGAGAGCAAGGGAGAATCTCGAGGGTAAAGGCCTGAAAGCACGTGACGAAAGCTAATATCTCCCCCCATCAAGCTGTCTCTCTTTTTGTCCGAACGCAATCATTCAAGGAACCGACAACTACCACCGTCCCCACGCTTATCTGGTTCTCTCTCTACTGCTCGCTAGTTGGTCCAGATCCATGCTTCACATCTCTTGATTAATCGTCGACGCTTTATTTTTTTTTTAAAGCCACGCATTGCAAAAGCTTCCTCCTCCATTCCCTTCCCTGGTCTCTCAATCTCAGGGAGCGCGCAGAGAAGGAGAAGATGAGGATGCTCAAGTTTCTATTCCTCGCTCTGCTACTGGCTCTCTGCCACCTCTCCATGGCAGCGGAGAAGAAGACCTATATCGTTCATATGGCCAAGTTCCAAATGCCGGAGAGTTTCGAAGAGCACACTCACTGGTACGACTCCTCTCTGAAGTCTGTGTCCGACTCGGCCGAAATGCTCTATACATACAACAACGTCATCCATGGTTTCTCCACTCGGCTCACGGACGAAGAAGCCAAATTACTCGAGGGCCGACCGGGGATTCTCCTCGTATTACCTGAAGTCAGATACGAGCTTCATACAACTCGGACACCTGAGTTCCTCGGATTAGACAAGAACGATGGGCTGTTCCCCCAGTCTGACTCGGCCAGTGAGGTTGTCGTCGGAGTCTTGGACACCGGGGTGTGGCCCGAAAGCCTGAGCTTCGACGACAAGGGGCTCGGGCCCATACCCAGTGGTTGGAAAGGTGAATGCGAGGTTGGTAAGAATTTCAATGCGTCCAACTGTAACCGGAAACTAATCGGCGCTCGATTTTTCTCAAGAGGGTACGAGGCCACATTGGGTCCCATTGATGAAACAAAGGAATCCAGGTCACCGAGGGACGACGATGGTCACGGCACCCATACATCGACCACGGCAGCTGGGTCAGTCGTCGACGGTGCCAGCCTCTTTGGTTATGCTGCCGGTGCGGCGCGTGGGATGGCTACACATGCGAGAGTTGCTGTATACAAGGTCTGCTGGATTGGCGGTTGCTTCAGCGCTGATATCTTGGCCGCGATGGATAAAGCCGTCGATGATGGCGTTAACGTTTTATCGATGTCTCTTGGCGGCGGAATGTCAGATTATTTCAGGGACAGTGTCGCCATAGGAGCTTTTACGGCGATGGAGCGAGGAATTCTGGTCTCTTGCTCGGCCGGAAATGCTGGTCCGAGTTCTTACAGCTTGTCCAACGTAGCACCGTGGATAACCACGGTTGGTGCGGGCACATTGGACCGTGATTTCCCGGCATACGTGACTCTGGGAAACGGAAAGAACTTCTCAGGCGTGTCGCTGTATGGTGGGAAACCGTTACCTGATTCGCAACTAACATTCGTCTACGCCGGTAACGCCACCAACGTCACAAGTGGGAACCTGTGCATGATCGGTACCTTAATACCGGAGAAGGTCGCTGGAAAGATAGTCTTATGTGATCGAGGGGTTAATGCTAGGGTGCAAAAAGGTTCTGTGGTAAAACAAGCTGGGGGTGCAGGCATGATTTTAGCGAATACGGCGGCGAATGGGGAAGAGCTGGTGGCTGACGCGCATCTGTTGCCGGCGACTGCAGTGGGACAGAAGACGGGGGATATGATAAAGAATTATCTCTTCTCTGATCCTAACCCGACGGCAACGATAATCTTCGGGGGAACGAAGTTGGGGATTCAACCGTCACCGGTGGTGGCGGCGTTTAGCTCCCGAGGACCGAACTCGATTACACCAGAGATACTCAAACCTGACCTAATCGCTCCTGGTGTGAACATCTTAGCTGGCTGGTCAGGTGCAGTAGGACCCACGGGTTTAGCTGTGGATTCGAGACGCGTAGGTTTTAACATCATATCTGGGACGTCGATGTCGTGCCCGCACGTAAGTGGCCTCGCGGCTCTCCTCAAGGCAGCGCACCCGGAATGGAGCCCCGCGGCGATAAAGTCTGCTCTCATGACAACATCCTACACCACATATAAAAGCAGCGAAAAGATACAAGACGTTGCCACCGGAAAACCATCAACGCCGTTCGACCACGGAGCCGGACACGTAGATCCTGTGGCAGCTCTCGATCCCGGCCTCGTCTACGACATCACCGTCGACGATTACCTGGATTTCCTCTGCGCATTAAAATACACTTCATTGCAGATTGGTAGCCTAGCTAAGAGAAACTTCACGTGCGACGAGAGCAAGAAATACAGCGTTACTGATCTGAACTACCCTTCGTTTGCGGTCTCCTTCACACAGGGTGGAACCACCACGGTGAAGTACACCCGGACGCTGACGAACGTGGGCACTCCGGGCACCTATAAGGTATCCGTGTCTTCGCAAACGGAGACCGTGAAGATCTTGGTTGAGCCGGATACGTTGAGTTTCAGTCAGCCAAATGAGAAGAAGACATTTACGGTGACGTTTAGTGGTGGTTCGTTGCCATCGGGGACGACAAGCTTCGCTCGTCTCGAGTGGTCGGATGGGAAGCACATTGTGGGTAGTCCTATTGCTTTTAGTTGGATGTGATTGCTAATGAAACAAGGAGCAGAAGGAAAGAAAAACTCTCTGCAAATGACTAGCCGATAAGTAGGGCTTAAGTTAAATTTATGTTTTGTATTTTGTTTTCCGGCAAAAAAAGCCGGTTGTAGTGTTCGACGTTGTTCTCTGAGAAAAAGAGATCATGAAAAACCATCCAAAAAAAAGGAAGGGGTGGTTGGTTTCTTGCTCAAGTCATCAAAGGTGTACATTGTAAATTATTAATGCATGTGTAGAATGGATTCTTGGAGATACCCGAAATCGGAGTGTTCGACGGTGCTCTCACGGTCTAACCGGTCCGTATCCCTTAAACTTAGGCTGAGTTTGTTCGCTGTGTAAATAATAGACCGGTGTTATATTATACATTTATACTTCGGTTCAATTTATAAGCGTTTGGATGGAATATAAATACATAATTAAACACCGAAAATTGATGTAAAATCCACTCATATTGAGTTTATCAATATAAATATTAACTTCGTTAAAAACAATATAAATATTACATCGATAATCTCGATTGTAATATTTATATTATCAATTATCATTAACTTCTCGGTTATAAAATAACACATATAAAAAGGGAAAATATATGATGCTGAAAAGACATCATACTGGAATGGTTTTGAACTTTTGGTCAATCACAATCCTTGTAAATTTTGGTGAAAATCCACTGATTGGTTTTTATTTTTATAATGTCGGTTGATTGGTCATTTGGTTGTAAGTTCTTCCCTATCATGTCTATGCATCATCATATTCCAATTCTATATAAAAGGGCCTGGGCCTGGGCCTAGGCCAGGCCTAAAATGCTGGGTCAAAATCTACTTTGAAATTTGTGGGCCAGGCCTGGGCCGGACCTGAACATTAAACTTAATACTCAAACCTAAATTTCTTGCCAGGCTGAAAATGATCAATCCGACACTAATATCTTACCATCGTATTGATGGTATTCAGTATTCACCCTTGTCCATTGGATGGATCATACCCACCACAAAAGCACATAGCATTTAATTGAACGGCGAACTTTATCTAATATCTCTGCTTGTGTGTGGTACAAATCTGAAAAGTAAAAGTGGTGCATATATTGTAGCGATATCACCATTTTACTTCCCACAAAAACAAATTACAGTCAAATCCAAATCAAAAGTATTCTAGAATTTACGTTCAACCTATTTGTACTCCCATCCATTTACATTAATGCAAATTAAATATAAACGGAAAACAAATTGAGCCTTCTATTAATCGTGAGATTTTTAGTCCATGTTATTTAGGTATTGTTTGTAGAATTGTAAGACATTTCTCTCTAATGAATAAATTTAAAGTTCAATAACTAAAAGAAGAGAATTAATTTTTTATTATTTTATATGTAAAGAAATAGAAATATATAAAAACTGTGGTGAATCATTGTCTTTTCATTTTCTCTTAAATAATACATTTTTGAACGATAGCTTACATGAAAACAGGATGTGCTATGGGGAGATGAGCCCAATACACGACGAGGATGTGCTATGGGGCATTGTGGGGTGGAGATGTGGTCTCAATTATTTATTTTTAAATTAAATGATTAGAAAAATAAAAAAATAAAATAAAAACCTTCTTGAGTCTCAATTGTCTTTGATAAAATTGATAGGTAAAACCTTTACAAACATTGTATAGGTTTCCTTATATTTCCCTTCCTTTCCCTATCTTTTCCTTAAAACCAAATATAACCTAAATAAAACAGATTGGATCAGGTTAAGGGCCAATATATGGTCATCTCTAAATATAGACCTTATCCCAAACCCAAATTGATGCCAAAAACCTAAATTTGCCAACCAAAATCTAACTTGTGCTCAATTCTAAATATAGACCTTAGCCTAAACCGAAATTGATAACGAAAACAGATATTTGCCAACCAAAACATCACTTTTGCCCAACTATAAATATGGACCTTAGCCTAAACCCAAATGGATGCCAAATAACTAAACTTGTCAACCAAAAGCTAACTTCTGCTCAACTTTAAATATGTATCTTAGCCTAAACTCATATTGACACAAAGACTGAAAATTGCCAACCATAACCTAACTTCTGTCCAAATCCCAATATGAACCTAAACTTAAACCCCCAAATTGGCACCCAAAATCTAAATTTGTCAACCAAAACCTAACTTCTAGTAATACTTATTATTTACAACAAATTGAGGAGCTTCGTTAAACCAGGAATAGGTATCCTGAATACAAGTAGGCAAGTAGCATGCTTTGCTAGCAAATGCGCCACTTGAAGGAGTGGCGTTCTAGCTGCAACCGTCCCTTTCAATTTTCTTGCTAGTGAAGGTGGGTTTTGGATCCAAAGGCTAAGGTTTTTTGTGTCAATTTGAGTCAAAAGTGTAGTTTAGGGGTTTAGAAATGTTTAACAAATTCCATCAAATCAAGTTAATTGATCGATTGCTATTGGCTAGGTAAAAAGTAGGGGTGTCAATTGTTCTGGATTTGGTCAAATCCGATCTAGTCTAATGTGAGTCTATTATAAATGGACCAGGTCCAATCCAATCTAATGAATGTTTAGGATCAATTTGGACCGGTCCATTTCAATGTCTGGACCGTCCAATCTATTTAATTCATTTTAATTTTAATCCAAACCTGATCCATTGACACATATTCTTATCTTATATCAACGGATCAGATATTGGCTTAATCTAACCCAATCCAATATAAATTTGTTATGGACAAACCAGGTCCAATCCGATCTAATAAATATTTTGGATTGTATTGGTCCAATCCAATATGTCTTGTTGGTCCATTTAATCAATCCAAATTGATTTTGGACTGGATGGGATCCAATCCAAAACCGGTCCATTGACACCCTTAATTAAAAGTAATTTCAATACGAAAGCCGGGAAACTGAAAAAGAAGGTAAAGGAAAGGAATAGGTAAGGACAAACTTCCTCCATTTCTCACGAAGGCAAGGGTTGGCATTAAAGCCAAAAAAAAAGTCATCTTTTCAAAATGTAGAATAAAACCAAATTACCGCAAGGACACGATATTTCTTGTTCTCCAATAAAGCAATAGGACTTCTAGCAAACATTCAAGAATTTAGGGTCGTTTTGAGTAGCAGTAAGAGGGCCCAAGTTACAATTTTTCTTTTTGGCAAGAAGACGAACTCAAAATTTCCTTGCTGCTGAAAATATATTTACATATAGGGTAGCCTCGGGCAACTGAAATATTGATTCTCTTGATGCTTACATGTATATTCAGATGAGTTTGGAAGGAGTACATATACAAATATATAGAGTATAAATTGTTATATTTTATATTATTTTGTATGTATTTACACTATACATATTTATATATGTACTCCTTCCAAATTGAGCCTGATGGTGTGCAATCTGGCGCTTTCGATTGACAGATAGCTCAGACACTAGATTGAGTAAGTCGCTTGGTCGAGCTGTAAGAGAGAAGTAATCAAAGTGTCTGGGTTGTTTTACTTAGGGTGGTCACTCTAATACTTAAGTTAGCAAACTGGATGTTTAATTGTAAAAAAGCAAGAGAGCTAATATACTTGAGAGCTAAATCGTGCATACCTTTTCTGAGGAAGAGGACGCCTTTATATAAGCGCATGATTATTGTGGGCCTCACGCACTGTGACTGAGATCATCGGGAGGACGTGGCTCACCGGTCCGATGTTCCCGGAGGTGGTTTTGCATGCAAACTAGGCTCCCATGTGAAGTGATAAGGCCTTATCCACTTGTCTCTAGAGTGGACGTTGCGGGAGCTGACTTTCGGAAGACTTGGGAGTGATAAGGTGCACGAAGAGGAGGTCGGTGAACACGTCATCCAGGTCTCTACCTGGATGTCAGTCAAGTTGGCAAGTCCTCGGGGAGGTCGTTTTTCACGACAAGGTCCTTTGGACCGATACTGACAAGGTACAACAGGTCGGCCCTGCATGAGGTGCTGCTAGCTGTTGTTCCATGGTGCCGGGGCTGCATGAGAGTTGCTTGGACTAGTTCGGGGATGTGCCTCCTTAACTTAGCAAGATTCATGACTGTTTGTATGGCGCTGAGGTGTCATGCGGCGAGGGCCAATGCCACGTATCACTGGGTCATTGGGTCACGTGGCGCCGAGGGCCAATCACCCCTTATTAGAGCCCAAAGGGAAATAATTATTGTTTTATTTAAAAAAAAAAACATGTGCTTTAGAAACCAACAAAATATTGATTTTTAAAACAAAAACAAATTTTCTAGTATAGAAATCGTATGACTTGTGTAACTTGATGTTGAATAATCAAAAGAAAACATGTTCTTGAATTTAGATTCAAGAACATGTTTCTTTGTTTTTTTTTTTTTCTTCTACTTTTAAGAAACAATCCGTTTTCAAATAAGTTGGTTTTGATTTGTTTTGTTTTTAGAACCAGCGACAAAAAAAATAATTAACGTTATAAAACGCCACTAAATCTGCAACTGACCTCTCCATCCAATAAATTACTTCTTCAGCATTTCTTTGTCTGCTCTTCCAGATTTATTTTTGCATCAGAAAAAACAGTGATTTCTTTATGGCCACGTACAATGAGAGATTACTTAACGGTAGGAGTGGTTTCTCTAACCAAAACCATTTGAGCTTTATAATAGTCTCGGGGTCAATTTCATAATAATGGCTGGAGCGGTTGAATTCATTCAGTGTCTTATAACTTTGTCTTTCAATGACGTGTGAAAGAATTTGGATGTTACAAGTTACAACCACAATAGATAGGGGTGCAACCGTGCAAGTGCAACTTGTGTCAGATTGAGTTGAGGAGCCTAAGGTTCAGTTTGGAAGGAATATAAATATAAATTTGTATAGTATAAATAAATATATATAAATATAAATATGTATAATGTAAATATATACAAAATTATATAAAATAATATGTACAGTGCAAAATGTATATAAAATATATGCTTTTGCATTCTACATATTTGTATTTATACTCCTTCCAAACTGAATAAGGTTCAGTTTGAAAGGAGTATAAATGCAAATTTATAGAGTGCAAAACCTTATATTTTGCATTATTTATATGTATTTGCACTGTACATATTTGTATTTATACTCTTTTCAAACTAAACCTAAGGAAAGAATGTAAATACAAATGTATACAATATAAATACATATAAAATAATAGAAAATATTTGCTTTAGATCAATCTCCTGCTGCCGCTTGGCATTCACATTTTCATGTTCTTACCCATGCCAAGAGGCATGATTGTTGAAACTTTTGAAAGATGGAAATTGCTGGGTGATCATGGCTGGGCCA